TGAAAATCTCACAATGACCGCCGTATAGATAGTGTAGCCATATCTTGAGAGCATGAACGACTGCTGCTAACTCCAAGTCGTGCGTCGGATAATTCTGCTCATGCGGCTTAAGCTGACGGGAAGCATACGCAACGACCTGGCCATCCTGCATAAGGACACATCCCAAACCCTGTTTCGAAGCATCACTGAAAATGGTGAAACTCCGAGAAGGATCGGGAATAGTCAACACCGGTGCTGAGGTTAATCTCCTCTTGAGCTCCTGAAAGCTCGACTCACATTAGTCAGTCCACTCGAACCTCACAGACTTCCTAGTCAGCTGGGATAAAGGGAGGGCGATCTTGGAAAAGCCCTCGATGAACCTGCGATAGTATCCAGCTAGACCGAGGAAACTGCGAACCTCGGACGGACTCCTCGGTGCTGACCAATTCTGAACAGCTGAAACCTTGGAAGGATCCACCTCGATACCTGCCTGGGTAATCACATTACCCAGAAAGGATACTCGCTGGAGCCAGAACTCGCATTTGGAGAATTTCGCAAACAACTTTTCTCGTCTGAGGGTTTCAAGAACCACCCTCAGATGCTCCTCGTGCTCCTTCTGGCTCTTCGAGTAGACAAGAATATCGTCAATAAAGACAATAACAAACTGATCGAGGTAGGAATGGAAGATATGGTTCATGAGGTCCATGAAAACTGCTGGCGCATTGCTGAGACCGAATGGCATGACAACGAACTCGTAATGGCCGTAACGAGTCCTGAAAGCGGTCTTAGCGATATCTGACTCCTTGATCTTCAGCTGGTGGTAGCCTGATCGCAAATCAATCTTTGAGAACACACAGGCTCCCCTTAGCTGACCAAATAAGTCGTCGATCCTGGGAAGCGGGTACTTGTTCTTGATCGTCAACCGGTTAAGATCCCGGTATTCGATACACATGCGCATGGATCCGTCCTTCTTCTTAACAAAGAGAACGGGTGCTCCCCAAGGTGACACACTCGGTCGGATGAAACCGAGTCGTAACAGCTCCTGAATCTGCTCCTTAAGCTCCTGTAACTCCTTTGGCGCCATACGATACGGGGCTTTGGATACTGGACCGGCCCCTGGAATAAGGTCTATAGTGAACTCCACATGCCGATTAGGTGGTCCTCCTGGAAGCTCGTCTGGGAATACGTCCACAAACTCTCGAACGACTGGAACATCGTGAGGTGAACGTGCTTTCTGAGAATCATCAACAAGGCTCACCAGATAGCCCCGGTGGTTGCCTCGTCTGAGCAACTTAGTGGCTTTCGCCATTGAAATAATATGAGGCAAGGAACGGTTTCTGGAGCCGAAGAAAGTAATCGACTCATCTCTCGGAAGGTAAAGAATAATCTCCCGGTCGCGACATCTGATATCCGCATGATAAAAGGATAGCCAATCCATCCAGATAATAAGGTCGAAGTCCTTCATCTCGAGAACAAACGCGTCGGTAGGCAAAACTCGGCCACCGATGGAAAGGCTAAGATTTGAGGCTTTAGCTGAAGTCACTATCTTTCGCCCCGAGGCCAAACTCACCTCGAGAGGATCGATAGCGGTAGTAGCGCGAACTCCGATGGCATCAAGACATCGTCGTGAAATGAAAGTATGTGTCGCTCCAGTATCAAATAAAGCAAACACAGGAACATTATTAAGAATAATCATTCCGGACATGGTACCTGGATGCTGCTCGGCCTCTGTCTGATCAATGGCGTAAACTCTGGCCTGCTGCCTGCCCCTCTGCTGCTGCTGCTGAGGCTGCCTCTGTGCCTGCTGACGGGGCTGCTGCTGCTGCGGTGGCTGCTGAGGCTG